TATATTGAAAGATTCATGGCAAAACCTTCTCATAATTGTAAGTATATAATAAAATAGGTTGCCATTTTTTACAGCATAGCTAAATATGTATTAATTATAATAATAGCCTCTGATCAAATCACGTTGAACGAACCAGAGATTTGATCACTGAGATTAAATAGCATTGACCTGGTACTATTTAAATGGGGGACTACTTAGTAACATCCAGTACTGTAATCAACCTCCAAGAATCCAAAATATGTTTTAGCTTTAAATAACCTACAAATAGTTGATGAGCCATTAAAAGTAAATCAATCAATATAGTAACACTAAAAACTATAATGAAGATAATAATAATAATGATGATAATAATAATAGTAAGAAAAGAACAGTAGCAATAACAAAAACAATAAGGTGTAAAAAATATAAATGAAAATGTAAAATGATATGAGTAAATGATTGTGTAATGAGGTCTGTGTAGTTGTGAAACCATTCTCAAGTTAAAAGAATGCTTTTAATGTAAAAAAGAAAACAAGCTGATTAAGTTGACAAAATAATAGTAGTAAAATTATGAGAAAAGTGTTTTCCCCACAGCAAATATGCAAGAATAAATGTAAAAATTGTAAATGCCCTGCTCTGAATCTTAATTGTCATCTATTCTGTTATTCAAACAAATCATATTTTTTTATTTTTTTATTTTACATTTAATGGCTTAATTGCCAGATATTAGGAATTTTAAAATTGTATGTTTTCATTAAAATAATTTTCTATTTCATTTTATTGATTCAGATTCTTGATAAAGACTTTTCCTCATTTTTCCAATTAATTAAAAAATAAATGTGAATGTCAAGTTAATTAAAATGAAATATCTAAAAAATTTTTTCATTTTCCTGAATACTGAGAATGCAAATTTATGCCTCATTTTGTTGATATCTGTTATCCAAATATCTGTTTTTTAATTTAAGCATATTAATTGAAGGAGGTTCTACATTCTACAATATTAATCATTTCAATTTGCTGTTGAGATTTTTAAATTATTTTCTTTACAAAAGTGATGAACTTTAAATTCTGGGTGGATATTGCAAATTTAAACATTGACAATTTTAACAAAATTTCAATTTAGTGTTTACTTCTATAAAGGAAGTAAAGGAGAGACATCCAAGTTCTATTAATGTAAGCATGTAAGTGATGTAATTATTTTGTAAACATATTTTTAAGGAAGTAAATGAAGTAGTACATTGGTTAGCATGTGGATCTTATAAACTGTTAAGTGAGTCCTTAGTAGAGCTTTGTGTAAAAGTGGGTCTAATTCAAGAGAGACCTAATTGATTGTCTTTTATTTAGAAAGTTTTCAGGAATTAAAGTTATTTTTATCATTCATCATATCAAAACAAAGACTACTTAATAATTATTAAAATCATTTAAAAACTAAAGAGAAACATAATAGAAAATTGCTCAGAAAAGCTAAAAGAAATAGATGAATCTTAAGAGGTCACATGCCCTAAAGCAATATGGGAAAAACTAATGTTATACTTCATTTCCAATGAAGCAGTTTTTCTCTATTACACACAGGAGAAATTATAGCCAGGAATTTAACTGATAATTTACTGTTGGATATTTTGTCAAAAGAATAATGATTTATTATATATTATTAAAAAGTAATAATTTTGACCAAAATAGAGTCTGTAATTTTTGTGATTAGATTGTAATGGGAAAGCTTGGAAGAAAGGGTTTATTTTCCCTTTTGCATTTCCCCATTATGGGTATTATTATATCCATGATATAATAACACCCGGTTTCATGGATGGAATGGAATACCTGAAAGGAATAGGAATAATATATCATATATCTACAGTCAGAGTGAAAGGAGGACAAGAAAATAGTGTCTTACATATAACATGGAAATTCTTCTGTGTTTCTGGAAAAGCTATGTTTAGGACTAGAGATTCAAATAGGCCAGATTTATCTACTATATCCTAAGTAAGGACATGTTCCATGAATTAGAAATGGCAAGTCCTGGATTTTCCCAATTTGAGGACTGCTAGTTGGAGATTTCTATATCTGGAGAAGATATATTCCCAAAGGGAAATGGCACTATGGACTTGTAAGCTACTGCCTTGGGCAGGATGAACAAGACATGTCTTGGTATCAATAAGCTGAATGAATAACTGACCACTTTCGTCACTGATGTCACTAAGTGTCTGTCACATGACCCATGTGACTATTATGACCAAAGGGAGATAATCGTCTTTTGTATCCTTACAGGATGTTAATAAAGTATCTTTATATATTGCTTATCAATTTCTTATGGAATGGTAATGCTACTACAGTATTAGTAACAGGTAGGTTTTTATGGGGGTAGAGTAGTTAGCCTTATGTTTTTACCAAGTTTTGGAATCAGGTTTGAATTCAGAGTTGTCCTTCTCCCAGACTGGTTGCAACACATCTGTTATTTTATCCATAGGTGAGAAAAAATGTAATAATGTTTAAATATAATATCTATCTAGATTTTTTCTCTTTTAGATTAAAAATTTTGATTAATTTCTGTAATGTTCATTTATAGACATTAATTTGATTAGTTGAAAACTGAATTCAGAATTGGTATTTAATACTTTGTATACATAGCTTCCAAGTCAAGAGAACAACAAATCTTTATTTTCAAGAGCTTCATAAAAACATGAAATATTTTCCTTTTATTCTGCTTTACCATTTTCTGTTCATCTCAGTTACTCTTACAATGAGTTTGCTGTAGTCATCAGCAGCTAAATTCTAGTTGTCTTATTAAACAGCTTAAATCTCTTTTCATCAAAGTAGAAATATTTAATGATCTATGGTAAAGTGACATGACAATAGACTCAACATATTTGCAAGAATGTAAGTACACATACATACACAGATACAAACAAGAATCTCAATATATAGATATTTTGTAAATTTTAATGTATTTCATAATACACAATGAACAGAGATCACCATGTAAAAATCTTTTTCAAATTCAGTAGTTTTACCTGAAACACTAGGAAGCCTTAACCAAGATATTTTACAAATGTTAAATTTATCATTTTTTTATCAAGTATTTTTATCAGATAAATTTTGGTTAATTAGTAAAGAAGTGTTGGTTTCATAGAAAAAAAAAGGAGTTTTTACATTGAAAATATCCAATACAAAGTTTACATCAAGTGATGCAGACAATTTTTGCTTTACTTATATTGTAAATGGCCACCTATTAATGTTCTGACCTTTACCAGTTTTGCTTTTGCAATGAAAGCTCACAAATTTCAAATAGGTATGATATTGGAATATGTTGGGTTAATTTTTTAACCAATCAAAAAATTTTTTGTCTGTTCACTAGTTGCATTTGAATTTTTAATGACTGTTAATGAGACTGTAATAAATAAATAAATAGTGTTTATTATTTATATATTATCTGGAATTGTTGCTTTATCAATATGTAATTCTTAAAAAAAGTGTTGACATTTTCAGATTTCTGCTTAAATAGAAATGATATGTGGTTCTTTTCAAAGAAAAAATTAAATTCTGTTGAACAAATTTTTGTGACCAAATGTTTCTATATTAAATGCAATTCATTTAGTTTGCAAAGCTTTGAAGGAGAAATACTAGAGTTGATAATAATCTGCTTCAGGCAGTAGGATTTTTTAAAAATTCAGTTTTCTTTATCTTCAGCATATTTGTTACTTTCCATTTCAACAGCATTTCACCCATTTTCTTTCTTTGCTGAAAACATTCTTTCTTTGCCTAAATTTTTTCTTTACAATTCTTCAATTCAACAATTCTTATTTCATTTTTATTGAAGTTCAAAACTTTCATTTTTGTCATTTTTCCTTTGCATATTTTTTTGCAGTTTTTCAAGTGGGCCTGTTTTATTTTTGCTTTCATGCAAATTACTTTCTCATCATTGATTTATTCCATTTTAATGTCTTTTAATATATCTTTTCTTATTAGGATATTTAAAAAATTTATTTCCCTCATTTCTTTACTAATTCTTCTCTCTTTTATTTATTTGTTTCTCCTTTTCTTTGCTTTTATTCCTCATTTTCTTTCTTTCTTGAATTAAAGTTATTATTTGCTAATGAAGACACCATAAATTACAAATGAGATTTATGTAAATACCCACCTAAACTTCTTGTTATTCAATCTTTTTCTCTCTTCCCTGATGGCTACTCAATGACTGTGGAAGGAAGGGTGCTTCACTCATACCACAAATACTGCATGTTGCTATGATTTGTGGCGGCTTAGGATTACAAGAAGTGAAAATGGTTGCTGTCATATCTGCAATTTTAGAAACAGTTAAATTTGAAACTGTAAAGTGGAATTTTTGTAATAACCTGTCCTCTGTAGCCTAAAATGATAAAAATAAATAATGCTTGTTGTAAAAGAGAGAATACTTCCATTTTGATACTGGGATATTAATACGAGTAGATAGTTTTGCCTATCATCTGGTTCATACTCCTCCCTAGTCTTTTGAACAGGAGTAGAGATTCATCCCTTGTTTCTTGTTTAAGATTGGGTTTCCGGTTGTTTATAAAGTCTTTTCACTCTCTTTCACTCCCAGTAGCCACTTGCTTCTTCTTGGCATTATCACCTTGTTTTGAGTGAATTGATTAAAAAAAAAAAAAGGGTGAATATTAAGAAATATAAAATGATATTCTCTAGATGAACTGTTTTGCTTTTTGAAAGTTTGTAATGGAGAGAGTTTGGGAAACACACACACACACATATTTTTTTTATTGAAATTGGAGTAGATTTGAACAGCAAAATTAGATTAGAACAATTTCGTTTACTGATGGAAATCTGATCTAGCCCATTTGGAATTGGGTTGTGAAAAAGACAATGGAAATGACGAAATAAATTTTATCAGTTAAAATTTGAAATAGAGCTTACTAAGGCTATGAGAACTTTGAAATTCACATGATTTCGGGTTGAAAATGGCACTTGTGATAATCGCATGGGGGCCAAGGGTCGATTTATGATCAACCAGATTTATCTATATAAACACGTAGTTATGCTGAAGAAGAGGTAGACGGTTGAGCAAGACGGAAGAGGCCGCGATCGGTTGGCATGTCATCGTTGCTGCGTGCTGTCACGTGTGTGGGCACCCGCAGGCGACCGTTATGGGTCGCGGTGCTACAGAAATCTTTTCGAGATAGTGGTTGGCTCATCTGCCGTCAAAAGCAGTTGAACTGGGTGGAGAGAGGTCAGAGATTGAAAGTGACGTCAGAGATTGGAACCAAACGCCCGCTAACATATGTTGTTGATATATGTACAAAGAAGTGAATTACTCCTCCAACAATCTAAGACTGCTACTGCTACTATTATTACTGCCACTGAAAACGGAAACGTCGGACAAGCTACAATAACCAAAGAGTGGTTGGCTCATCTGCCGTCGAAAGCAGTCGAGCTGGGTGGAGAGAGATATCGGAGATTGAAAGTGAACAGAGTTGAATTGAAGGCTCGAAGAAGTACGAAAGTGATGTCAGAGATTGGAACAAAACCCCTGCTAACATGTACTGTTAATATAAGTACCGATGTTTCTGCTACCATGAAGATTACTACTACTGTTACTACTGCCGAGAAGGAATGCAACTATAAACTTTAAGCCGTGCACAGAAATCTTTATCTCTCCATCACAAGAGTCGCATATCGTTCTGAGACAATTTAACAAGTTAATCAAAACCCACTCTCTCTCTCTCTCTCTGTCTAGAATCCAGTGTATGAGTTTTTCTTTTTACATCAAATACTTTTTTCTGTAACCCGTTTCTTTTCTATACTATTCTTTTCTGCTATATAAAAGACATTAACAATGCAACCATTGAATAGTTGTTTGTCCGGCTTTCTGCATATATATATATATTTTTTTTTTGTGCATTCTAAATTTCTTAGCACAGACTCTCCAGCTGTGTCTACATCTTCAGTCAACTGTGAATGGATGAATATCACTTCTGCTTTCTGGATCAAACCAAACACAATGTGGACAGGAAGCAGGATTAAACCACTAGATCGGTCGAATGATCTACAGATGCTCCCTTAAGTTTAGTTAAGACCGAGTAGATACCTCAACCCAGAGAGTAAGACATTGGAGGTTGAGGTACTGGGGCAAAAGTGTTAGAAGAAGTTTGTTTTACACTGACAAGCAGATTAAGAATGCCTCATTCATGACACTCAAAGAAACAAGCCTTGCTTCTTCTGAACTGCCAGACCATTTGTTGCAATTTTGGAAGTCAATCTGAATGAGCAAGTGTGAGGATTTAAAATTAATTATAAACTAAACAGATTTAGCACTAAAACCAAAAATGACTATGCAATTAAAGCTTACTTTTGTAACACCCTATGGCCAGGTGCAGGCTCATTCATTGTTCCAATCACTAAATGTAGGCCTTTAACTCTCAACCCACCTTTCACCCACTATCGCTGCTCATGCTGTTGAGTAATGACTTTCTTTAGTTGGGGTTGGTGGGTCATCTCATTAGGTTCCTAAAATCTTACGATACTGGGGTTGATGGCAATGTCTAGTGTTGGACCAAAATATACATTTTGCACTGCAGATAAGAAATGAGTAATTCTTGACTTCGATCATGGTAAGTTTTGTCTTCATGTCTGGGACAATGTCAGGAATCAAGGCTGAAATAAGAACTCCTTCAATAAAATGAACAACACTGTTAATAACTCTAACAACAACTTTATTGAATATTAAAACTGGTGAATATGATGTCTCTATTATCTACTGAATGGATGGTGGTAGTAATTGTTGAAGCAATGACTGTCACCTCTCACTTAATTCTTCTGTCCAGTGAGTGTCTGTGTGTTCACTCCAGCTATGGAAATGTGGGTGTGTTCTTGTGAGACAACAGCAATTCATGATACAACCTGGAGTAAATCTCTGATGACTCTTTCTGGGCCCCGTGGTTCTTCATTTATATAGATACCCATGTCCTAACTTTTCCACTTCTGATCACTATCTAAGGAAATCTTTTCATAAACCATATAAATTTCTTATTTATTATTTTGGTCACTCTTTTTCTGTACACATAATTGCATTTTGGGCGAATAGTATTAATGTAAACAAACCCAGTGATTGGGATCTCAACATAAACCACATGGCTTCTTTTGTTAAAAGAAATTAGGTTACTCTTTTACTATAAGGATATAAGCATTTTGGGTGAATAGTATCAATTGAGAAAAATCAAATTCTCTCCAACCTATCCACATTAATCATGTCTTCTTCTCAGAGGGAGTGGATAGGTTGGGGAGAATTTGGTTTTTCTCAATTTTACTGAATCTTGACTAGTTATTTCTGGGTTCAATTCTCTTTTAAACTGTTCTTAAATTCATTTCATTGTTTAAAACAATTATTAACTAGTTTATTTTTCCATCTTTCTCCCAACCATTCAATCTATACTTCTAAGAATTTTACTAATATTTTTCAAATTAGTGGCCCCTCCAGAACACCATCCAGTGATTTCAGGCAAGTTTAAACAGGGCTAGTGTCATGTTACAGACGCACGTGCTGTGTTGTGATAACCTCATGATCAAGAATTCAGATGTAGCACTATGACCAGGAACATCAGCCAATTATCTCAGTCACTGATTCAGTGATATCCTGGACAGGAGACTCCTTCACCCACATTGTATTTAAATAAGATTTGAAGAAGTTCCAAGGTCAATGTTGAAACATTGCAATCATACAAAACTAACATTGAAATCTCTGAAGAGTGACAAAGAAGACCAGAATAACTTGGTTATACAGGTTTTTTTACTAATGCAATATGCAGTAGTCTAAGCACCAAATTGCTATTTTACAATAATGATGATGATAAATCTCCTTTTTTCAATTGTTGGGATAGTAATATGGAGGGAATGAACAATTCATGGTTGTTACAATATGAACTTCACATATATCTGCAGAACTATCTGTTCTACTTATATTTCACATCCTCTGATCTATCTTTTCTCTGCTAGTTTCTGTGTAACTCTCAAAGTATACTGCATATATGTATATGAAATGCTAGGTATTTGATGTAATTGTGTGCCTGCAGTTATGTAATAATCAATTATTAATGTGTTTTTATCCTTTCAGAGCATCAATGGCAAACTATCAGAGATAAAACATGTTATAATTGCTATGATACATGCAACATACAAGGATATTGAGATTGCACATTTTTTGGAAGTTATCAGGTTGTTTGTGCATTAAGTTTGAAAGGAGTTGGAAACTTGCAGATGTGTCACCTGTAGTGAAGCACAAAAAGTAATCACAGCATTTGGACATCAATGGACACCGTAATTCATACAGCATGTGCAGAACATTATTGATGTGAATTGATAATGTTCATGGCAAATTGATTCATGTTTATTAAATGTTCATGTGGGCTTTTGTCATAGATCTCCAGGAGTTTAAAGGCACAATCTGCAATGATTACTGAACAAGTTGAAACATCCAGAAGAACCTGGCATTCTCTGTTTTTTTTTTCAAAGGAAAAAATTTCGACCAGGATCAAAAAGTGGGCAGAAGAAATAATGAGTGGTTATGTGCAGATCCTTTTGATGTCCTCCATGTTATACACACCAAGTTTTCCACTTCTTTCAACAGGGTCTACAGTTGAATGCTGCAGGCTACACTGGTGCTGGAAGCAGTTGTGAAGCCCTTGATAGACCTTGTATATGATAAAAGCCATATGTGTTTCAGCAGGACTCTGCACCTGTGGCAAACCAAACTTGGATGGCGACCAATCTACACAATCACATCATACCAAACATGTAGCCACCTAACTTACCAGAGCAAAATCCACTTGGCTATTATATGTGGGATATTGTTCAATGGGAGGCTAATCAATGTTCTTAGAATATGACTAATTCCTTGAAAGCTGCCATTAACCAAGTAATGTCTATTATCAACACAGGCAATGTGACGTGTGCATGCCAATGATTCCAGTTCCACATTGTAGCTATCATTGTGACTGTATCTGTTTACCAAGTTTTGTATCAATAAATTTAGTTGTTTGTAAAATGTAATTGTCTTCAATGTGCCTTCAACACACACACACTATATATATATATATATATATATATATATATATATGGGAGTCAGCCTGCTAACTGTCACCAATAATGAATCAGTATGATTTAATCATTGTTATGCTCTCTAAATGTCCTCTTTGTTCCATAAAATACATCCAAGTTAGTATTCAGGTTTGAAGTTAATTAACTTCCTTAATTTTTACACATTTAATTCTAATAATCATTAAACACAATAAAGCTTTCTCACATCTTCCCCCAGTTCTATAATATAACACTATTTAACTATATTTAATTCTGTTGATTACTGTTAAGCCTCCTTGGGACTCTACTTCTCCTTCATGAATAGGTACCATAAATATGCATGAATGATTAAATATTGACCAAGTATTCTCAAAGAAAAATGTTTTCTAAATAAAAATATCAAAGTCATAACTGTCAGTCAAGTGTAGCATTGAAAATCTAATTAAAGCCAGAATGTCAAATATGAAATAAAATGTAGAGTTGAAAGTAAGTATAGTGATAAGACATATTTTGTTTGCAATTTCATTTATTGTATAGATTTACCTAATTATAAAAGGATCTCATTTCATGTGCCTTTAACCACAAAGTCAAATAAAATTATATCTTGGACCAGGTAATTGTTCTGTTTTTGAAAATATACTTTACAAAATATATAGAGCCCCTTTTATTAATGGTTTAAACAAAATAAATTGTGTTTCTCAATTAATGTAAAATAATAGTTCTTAGTATTTCAATAATATGGCTGTTACATATAGTATTTTTCTCAAAACCATATACTATTATAGAACTCGATGAATATGTTTCAGAATAAATTAAGTGGTAGTAAAATCAACATTAATTCGGTCAATAAAATATCATTACCACTTTAGTATTAAATAAAAAATATCAATATTGATACAGAAAACCCTATTTATCCATTATTCTTTTCCTTTCCTATTTTTTTTTTTGTTTCTTATCCTTAACATCAAGCAAGTAAATTCTATTACTAGCTCAAACGTTTAAGTACTTTCATTGAGTCTACATAGTAAACTGTTCATTTGTAAACTCTAAAGACCTACTAAGGATCTAGATTGTGGTTGTGGATATTTCCTTTCTGGCTTTCACTTTAATCACTTCCTCATTA